TGCAGCACTGAAACCATTAATAGTTCTAGGTCAGGTTCTACACAAAACTCCCAGTGAAGGAAGAGTTGTTGGAAGAAACACCCTCATAGGTACAGATTCCATTTATACACAGGGCACCAGTAACTCTACAAGGTGTTTTAATAACAGCAAGTGCTTTACAGTTGCCATTTCCTGCTTTGAGAAGGACTTTCTCTCAAGCTTTTTTTTTTTAAGGATTGTAAATCTAAATGAGTTGTGCCAGTTAAAATCTGTGCCAGATCAAAATGCAAGGAATGAGTTCTAAGAACAGTGGAGACTGGGGGCCAGGGAGAAACTATACAGAAGTAAATGGTTATGAAAATACTATAGTGGGTTCATTGGTATAATTTTCATCTCAGAAGATCAAATTCTGTACGTACTGTATAGGCACTCTTTTATTTTACTTCGTAAGAAAAAGAAGACCTCAACTCTTTTGACAGAGGGTAAGGAAAATTATGAGAGGATTAAATGTAGGCAAGGACATAATTAAATTTGTACAAAGTCCAGCTTTAACTTAAGATGCAGCAATTATGCTTATTGATACTTTAGTGGCTTCTCATTTGGTTGCAAGCAAGACACTACACAACTGCCTGTGTCCCCCTTTGCTGAAAAACTATTAGGGTCCACTCACCAATAATTTTAACTTTCCAGCAAAAGTTGGTTGTGTGAATACAGCCACAGAGCAATGTTCCATAGGCTAAGACAGTGGCTTCTAATTATTTCCTTCACACAGGCTACTGTACAACTACAAAAAGGTTTTGAGGACTATAACCCAAGGCACAGATCAGCACCATGATACCTGTCAGTCCTATGGTACACATAAACCTCCTCCTCAAATGGCATCTGCAGGAAACATTTTAAATTTTGGAAATTTGGGCCATAAAAAAAAATAATAAGCAAACTTCACGGTAATTGTAACATGGCAATCAGCCTTTTAATACCCATGCTTATATATAAACTGGCTTGCAAAGAAATGGAGACAATCTGGCCCATACTGTCTTTCAGCCTGATATGGTTCATCTTTTTACTATTTCACGACAAAGGATTTGCTAGGAATACCCCAGTGCAACAGTATGTCTCATAAGGTTTTCTAACCCAATGTTCTTCAGACGTTGGACTGTAACTCTCATTCATCTCCACTAGCATGGCCTATAGTCAGCGAAGCTGAGAGCTATAATTGAGAAACATCTAGATGGCCACATTAGTATATGGCCACTAGTACAGCCATATTAATATAAAGGCCTCGGGTGAAAGGAAAAGCACAGAGGCTTCTGCTATCAGAAATGATGACATACACGGGGTATTTTTTTTTTTAATTGACTCCATTCACACTGCTGGCATATTTTCACATGCTTTCTTTCTGCATAGCTATTCCAAGCCCAAGGCTCCAGAGAAAAGTCTGCAGGCAGGTGTAGTACCAAGAGGCTTCTCATCCATAAATATGGAAGTCCAACAGTTCTTGCCTATTTGAATCCCTCCCATATTTTCCCACCACAAACTATTGAGGATGTCTTGTGATTAGAACTGTGATCTGAAGAACGTTTCCAGAATTGTGCACAAAGCTAAATGCTACAACATCACTAACTCCACTTTCTGGATGGTCTCCACCACTTCGCTATCTTCCCATACAGTAGTACATGAGGTTGTAAAAGGAGTAAAGCCAAATTTGTTGGTGATAGCTTTTTGACTTCTTGTAGAAACTTTGTGGATATCCAGTCTGCAGATTAAGCAGAACATGCTATCCCAAGAAAAATGACTAGAGCATTACAGAAGGTTCCTCTCACAGCAAAGTTGGAACGATCCAAGAATATCTGCACTTGCAAACTTGTCTCCATATGCTATACCATTCCAGAAAGCATACAGTACAGACAAAGAGAAAAAGTAATATTGAACAAAACCAGGTATCAGAGATTAAAAATTAAACATTGATCAGCCTTAACTTTGGACTTGGCTATTGATAAAATGTAGCTTTGGAACTGAGCTCCAATTCTCAGTTTCTTGTACCCAGTGCTTAAGATTTCCTCAAGCATTATCTGTCCATTAGTCCAGGGTTCCTCAACCTCAGCAACTTTAAAATGGGTGGACTTTGACTCCCAGAATTCCCCAGACCCATGCTGGCTGGGGAATTCTGGGAGCTGAAGTCCACTCATCTTAAAGTTGCTGAGGTTAAGGAACCCTGCTTAGTCTAACCAATATCAAAGGCAACCACTTGGTGGTTTTAAGAAAATGAACCAGATTTTCAGGAAACTTTATTTTGGGCCAAATAGTACACTCAATGGAAATCCCCAATTCAATGGAATTTTTCAAATACAATGAAGATTTATTCTCTCAATTCTGAAATTCAGTAGAATCAGAGACATTGCTTATTATGTATGTATCTTCCGACAGCATCTTTGGATTGTGTGACCCAGAATTTACAATCTATCAAACCAAGCAGCCAAAGGACATGGCCTGCCTGGTACTTGACAGCTCCACACTTCTGAAATCTTTGGGTAGGCAGCCAAAACAGAATACTGAAGAAATACAGCTTCTGCTGCAGGGTAGTTTAATTTATCACAATTTGGGGAACCCTAATCCAGGGTATTATATCCTATCCATGATACTTTTCTATTATACAAACAACTATTCATTAGAATGGGAAGATATTTCTAAAAAGAGCAGGTAGGAATAGATAACCAACTGTATGTAAAGCACTCTTATTAGACAATTATTTTTAAAAATTATGGAATGTTTAAGACAATAGTAAATTCTTTTTTGCTGATATTTTTGTTTGCTGAAGTTTATGATTGCTCAATCAATATGGACTTAACTGGTCTTTCACCACTTTCGAGAGGCTGGAATTTCTTCCTCCAGCACAAGACATGGAGGACGGCAACTCATATGTTGGTTTGGGAACTGAACTGAAACATGTCTGCAGACGTCTGGTTGAGGGAGGACATGCTAGCCAAAAAGGAATAGCCATTCTATCACACAATATATATCAAGGGCTGGGAACCATCAGCCACAGCAGCTGGAAAACCACAAACTATGTACACACCGAAAACCCTGAAAGTAGTAACCATACAGTACTTCTGTTGAAAGGGAAAGGAGGAGCAACTAAATCAGTGTTTAAGGGAGAAAACACTACTGAGAGTAAGGCTAAGCATTAAGAGGCACCACATCCTTTACTCTATGGTGCCCCCCCCTTTCCAGCCCATTTCTTCCCCCTCCTGGCCAGCCACACAACTTTAAGGGAAAAGCCAGATTTCCCACCCCTGTTCCAATTGAATAAAGATGTGAAGCTAGAGGGTGAATGTGTAGGCAAATCCCGAGCCCTCCTGTCTGCAAAGTCAAACTAAAAGAGGAAGCCCACTCTCTTTCTTCTACATGACCTTTAAGACAGAAGATGAGAGAACAGATGACTGCTGGTAGTTTAGCTATTGTAACACAAGAACTCTATTCCCCACCCCAAAAAAGGTTGGAATGACAACAGAGAAAAAACTGCACAACTTTATTGATGCAAAACAACAGTTAAGGAAGGACAACTCCTGATCACACCACCATGCCAGCTTCACAATAAACTCCTAAAAGCCTGTTGTAAACAAATAAGTAGCCCTTTGAATAGTGTGCAGTGCAGAAGTGACTAGGCCAAAGAATCACACATTCACCACACACAAAAAGAGGAACCACCTTGATTAGGGTACGCACGGAGAAAACTGGTCCATTAACTCAGGAGTAAAAAGCTCTCTTGCTGACACAGAGAAGCATCCTGGCAAGTGAGTCCAGTACAGAAAACAAGCCAGCTGTGAAATGTATATTCTGTCTCTAAAATAAGGTATAAAATAGTAATTTACATTCCACATTTGAACAGAGGACAGGGCAAAGCTCCACAGAGAAATAGCAGGTTGGAAGAATCCAGCCTTTTGTTCCAGGACTACTTTATTACTCAGTAAGACTGCAAGGCTTATAGCAAGGTTAAGATTCCAAGCCAATGTCCACAGTATAATATACTGCAGTGAGAGAAAGTGAGGAGTTAAGACCTTGTATTGTAAGGGATACATATTCAAAAAAAAAAAAAAAAGTGGAGGAGCCCTTACTGAAAAGAGGGATACTGCCAGACAGGCAAAATGCGCTCATGATCTTAAGAAGGAGAGTCATAGGAAAAAGCATAGAGAAGATCAGGTCTGCTGCTTTGGATGGGGGGGAGTATAACTGAGGGCATCTCCTGATTCAAGATCCTCAGACCGCAGCTTTGACACGTGTGGTGTGACATTTCCTACACAGCACATGGCCATCCAGGGGGAAGCAACCATTGTCATCTGCTTCAATGGACAGGGGCTTCCCACAATCCTGAAAGGTGAACAGAGAAAGAAATGAGTAAGACAGACTAGATGCCAATGTCAAGAAGCAGGGAAGAAAAGTGTGGAAGCTGCTCACCTCACACTTGTAACATTTCATGTGGAAATTCTTCTCCAGGGCCACCACACGAACAGTCTCATCCTTCCCAGGCTCTGGCATGATGGGCTCAGCACAAACTGAGCAGCGGGGAGCATATTTTCTGCAGGCATAGAAGAGAAAGTACAGGAAATTCAGAAACTCAGTTTCAGCCTCTGGTCAAATCCAAGCCTGAGGGCACGGAGGGCCATCATCGCCAGAGGGGAGAAGATGAAACTCATAAGGAAGGGGACATACCTGTGATAATCATCCACACAATGAGGCTGGTTGGCTTTATCCACAATGAAGGATGCCCCCTCCAGGGGTTTGTGGCACACCACACATGTGAAACATTGAGGATGGTAGGAATTACCAGTGGCCCGCAACATCCTGTCTGTGATGGTTTGCTTGCAAACACAGCATTTCTCTAGGGTGCCCTGAAGAACAAAAAGAGGATCAGAAAGGAAACAAATCTGCTTCCAGTTGAGAGCATTACTTCTTTCTCTGGTAGAACATGGCCATCAACATTAGT